ATCTTTCGTATCGTCGGAAAACACTTCCCTGGTACCTAAAATTAACCAACATAATTTTAGATACAATCGCCCATCAACCTTTATAGTTATTTGTATTAGTATTAATCGTTTAGGTTTGGCTAGTATACTAATTGGGTTTTTTTTTTTTTTGTTCAATTTGAAATTTAGAGTTTTATTTTCTTGATTATTTCTGAGCTGTGGCCAGTGAGTTGTGATTATAGGTCTATCAGTTTTAGCTTGTATTTTTAGGTTTGTATGCTGACTTTTAGTTGTTTTTCTGCTAAAAGTTTTCTTTTTCTTTTGCTTTTGCTTATTAATTTGAGAACTCTTACTTTCTTTTTGCTTTCTTTTTCTTTTCTTTTCTGTTTTCTGGCCTTATGTTTATCTATAGGGAAATCATCATGTTAGCTCGAAACTTCACCCTTTTGGAGAACTATGAGCACATGGGTTTTTTCCCCCATTTTTCTTTTTCTTTTTCTTCTTTTTTGGAGTTCTGCTGGTGTGCTTTTAACTACGGGCGTGCCATACTATAATGGGATGTCATTCTGTTATATTTGCTGTAAGTCTTCTTTGCAGTTCTTAGTTTGGTACTATCGAGGCAAAGCGTTGATTTCAATAATCATCTTTTGCTTGAACGTTTTGTTGATTTTTAACCTTTTATTTAACATAGATTGTTTCGGAGTAAGTGAAATTAATTGGGTTCAATTTATTTTTCAGCTCCTGTGATTAGTGGAGAACGGCTGAAGAAGTATGTATTCCACAAGATAGCGACTGAGCTGCCAGAAGGGCCTTATTGCATCGTTTACATGCATACTACAGTGCAAAGTGATGACAATTCACCTGGCCTTACCATCTTGAGGTGGATTTATGAAGAGCTACCCTCAGATCACAAGGACAGGCTTCAGGTTGTATACTTCATTCATCCTGGTCTGTGGTCAAGGCTTGTCTTTGCCACGCTGGGAAGGTTCTTCTTAAGTGGAGGGTTAGTTCTTTCTTGAACTTTTCTAATCATTTTGTGTAAAAGATTTAGTCTATGTTGCTACATGTGGTGCTGTCAAAATGTCTGGAAGCTATATGGTCATTATCTGAGTGCCTATTCATTGTTTATTATGATAGCAGAAAGAAACATTATGCAGAGGCAATTAGTTCATGTCCAGTAATCTAGGTTATATACCTGCAGTAATTAGTCCCTTAACTTCTAATGTTCGATTGATGCTGTAAATCCTGAATTATCTCATATTGGAACAACCCACACTACTTAAAAGACCAAATTTTGAACATAATCCTGTTTAAAGCTGATTTGTCAATTTAACATGCAAACAAATCAGAATGTAGATTATTGGGAGAAGAGAACTACAAATTAATTAGCATATGGGACTTGAAATTATTTCTGTGATCAAGCAGCACGAATGCCTAAATTTACAAACTTGTTGCTGAATCTAATTACTTCTGAACGTTTCCAGATTTTGTTATTGCATGTATGTTCATGATACCCATTGCCTTCAGCAAATACTGGTGCTGCGTGTAGATTCAACAATTTTGCTGCACTTACTGCCCTTTGGAAAAATTATGATGGCCTGCTTCTATGAACCGCTTCTGATTCAATTTGGACTAAGGGAGTCTTGTAACTGAAGTTATGACTCAGAAACACGAGTCTCGCTGTGTCATGCATGTTGCTCACTGGTCTTTTCTTTTGTTTGAGTGTAGATTGTATTGGAAAATCAAATATGTAAGCCGCTTGCAGTATCTCTGGGATGACATAAAGAAAGGAGAACTGGAGATCCCCGAATTCGTTCTGCAACACGACAGTGTGCTAGAGACTAGGCCTTTAACTGACTATGGAATTGAACCTGATCCTTTTCATGTAACTGAGATTTCGACTATGCCCTACTCATTTGGAAGACATCGGGCAGAGTGACCTTCCAGAGAATACATGTAGTATTTCTGACTGGAAATTATGTGTACAATTTGCAGTCCAATATGCTACAATATCTGTGTAGCATGTTTACAATATCTGTATGCCAAGTTAAGCTTGGTAGGGTGTTTGAACCCTGCAGATATAAGGGCATATCTTCGTAATTTCAAGCTATCAAGCTAGACGCCCTCTTGTCTTTTTCCCCTCTTTCAAAGTTATGGGGAAACATGTGAGCAGGAGATTTCTTGAATTGGTGATTAATAGTTGCTTTCTCTGTGCAGTTTAGATTCCTTAGTTTTTCGTTCACTTTGTATATGTTCAACCTTTTGGTGCCAAGAAAATTACTTAAAAACAGTCCGGATTCCCAGTGTGCATTGAGAAGATTACGAATATATGCATTCAAGATATAAGGGCATTTATTCGTAATTTCATGCTACATGCCCTCTGTCTTTTTCCCCTCTCGCAAAGTTGTGGGCAAATATAATTATGTGAGCAGGAGGTTTCTTGAATTGGTGCTTAATAGTTGCTTTCTCTGTGCAGTTTAGTTCCTTTAGTTTTTCATGCACTTCAATTTTGTCAACCTTTTGGTGCCAAGAAAAATACTGGAAAGCATTCCAGATTCTCAATGTGCATTTTAAAATTCCTTCAGGACGTTGAATTGCATGTTGGTGTTTGGCTGTTTGCAACATGGTTTTGTCTTGTGTGCTGGTTTTTCTGTTCTTTGGTGAGTTCAAAAAATCTTTTGGCCTTTGTTGGTGAAAGAGTAAAAACTTCCATTTTCATTCCCTGAGGCACTATGCAGCCTAGATTAGCAAGTAAATAGGATCTGGCGAGGTTTTTTTCAGTGTAACAGGCTTACAGCATTTAGTTCTGGAGGAGAGCTGCTTTCGGTGACTGGACGAGCACAATTTTGTTCAAGTTAGCTGTGGCAGAATCTCTTTGAGCTTGTCTCGCCTGTTTGAATAAATCACTCGGGGGGGGGGGGGGGGGGGGGTTTAATTTGAACTTGATTTGTCAGAGGGCAAACGGGTGTTGTCCTTGATCTTGCAAGGCTAAACCTGCGCGAATGACCTAACAAAAAATTGAGAATTATTCTCAAGAACAAAAAGGATAATGGCAAATGAGCGTATGAATTCATTTTATTTTGGTTGAAAATTTACGAACATGATACAAGAAATTTATCATGATGTTCCCTTCTTTCGATTCACTCAATAAAAAGATTTATCCTGTTTCAAAATGACCAAACTAGGCTTTAAGTTTAAGGTGGAGAATAAAAGTTTCATGCGTCCAATTACTTCTCCTCACTGCTAATTTCTCATGGAAGCTGACCTTTTAGGCTACATGAGATGAGCTGATCCAAGCATGAAAGAGCAGAGTTAATCCAAACACCAAATTATACATGCTAAGTTTAGTCCTTTCCATCCTTAAAATGACCGGCAAAACTAAGAATTTCCACCTAATTGAAAACCAGTTTTTTAAATATAATACATAGAAAAGTCTCTTGTGGTGTTAAAACGTACGACACAACATTTCATGCTTTAAACTAAATTGTAAAGATGACAGAATCCGTTAAAATTAACGAAGACAGATGAAATGACAAAAATGCCCTAATATAATTAAGCAAAAAACAGCTCAACAAAATCATTTGTTTCAATCTCTAGAGAGAGAGAGAATTGGGAGTTAAGGCTGTTCTACAGGTATATTTGTTAAAAATTAGGTATAATTTTTTTTTATTGTTCTAATAAGCTATTTCCATTAATTTTAACGGATTCCGTCATCTTTATAATTTAGTTTAAAGTATGGGGTGTGATTTTTGTACGTTGTGAAACTACGAGATTTTTTTTTATTTTTTACCCTTTTCTTAAAGGAAAATATTGCCTTGTACATCTGTAATTCGGTTCGTAATAGTTTAACATGATGCATTTTGGGCGTTGTAACCTTGCTCCAGCAGAACTGAATGCGTGCAATATGTCTTCCATTTGTCTAACCAAAACTCTGGCTCGGCAAGATGGTATAGGAATAAGTGCTCATTGGTCAAGTAAATGAAACATCATAAACTCAACTGCATCATTTCATCCTTTGGAAACTAATACTGAATCTTCTCCCTCCCTGCTGTCAGATTTAGAATTTGGATCTTATACTTTGCAGCTGCGAGTTAAAAAGGCATGAGGAAGAGTATATATTAAAAAAAAAAACTAATACTGTATCTTTGTCAAATTTCTGGTTACCTAACATTTAGGTATCATTAAAACAATTGGGTTCTCATTTTTCCCCCCTGCCCATTCCCTTGTCAATTAGGTGCTAGTAAAACAAAACATAGATCATATGTTAACTAAATATTTCAGTGATCTGCCACAATAAGGAGACTACAACAAACAAACCGCTATTGAGTTTAATATCTCTAATCATTGTCAATCATTAATAGCACTTCTTGTTGTTCTTCAACTTGACACATCTTAATTGACATAGCAATGACGTCTTGTACACTTGTGGATCATAATATACGACGAAACAAAAATCATGGCCAAGATATGTTCACCTTTGCATGACAAAATCTTGAACATTTTGGATTCATTTGTGCATGCATTCATCTTACTACAAGAAGTTCGAATTTATTGGAGACTATGACTGCATGACGCAGTTTTGGGAAAATATTTACGATCCCTTTTGAGTACGGTACCCATAATTCTAATCCACTCATATCTTGTCACATTATTCAGTGATTTAAACTCTTGAAATAATTTAAAAATTGGTATCTCTCGTTCTATACATTTAATCTTATCGATACGATATCCAAAAGGGACGGTAGAACTCTCTACAGCTTTGACCCTCAATAATGTAAGAATGATTTAAATGAGTTTAAACATTTTCTGTTTACTACATTGAATTTCACAAGGTGTTCATACCTTAAATCTAAATAAACTCATAAATATTTGAATGCACAAATTCACGTTTGCTACCCTACATGTAAACACTTTCCCCGAATTAAAATCTCACTTTTGCAAAATCCAACTATAAAAATCGAACTCTAGTCAAATTGCATTTCTTGGTATGAGGCCCACAAAACCAAACATTATCTGCTATAGCCACTTGATCATTCTCTTTTGCCATTTCCATGTTCTCTTCTTATGCCTTCTCATCAGCTCCAGCAAGTGTGTACTAAAACCAGTCATAAACCCCACATCTTAACAATTGTTTAGGGGAAAAAAAATTGAAAAAGAATCCAAATGCTTCGAACTCTTCATCTAAAACGCTCTCTCCAATCGCTCCTCCACCACCACCCGACCACCCTTAAATCCCCCAACACAGCCCTCCTCCGCCATTGCTCCACCGCTTCCACTCCTCCTCCTCCTCCACCTCCATCACCACCTCCGCCACTGCCTTCCTCAGCCACTGATGCTGAAATCCGGAAGTACCTCGGCTACACGCTCCTCGTCCTCGGCTGCGGTGCCGCAACCTACTACTCCTTCCCATTTCCGGAGGACGCCAAGCACAAAAAAGCCCAACTCTTCCGGTACGCTCCGTTACCGGAAGAGCTCCACACGGTCTCCAATTGGAGCGGGACCCACGAGGTCCAAACCCGGACATTCCTCCAGCCCGAATCGTTGGAGCAGCTGGAGGAGATTGTGAAGAAAGCCCATGAGAAGAAGCAGAAGATTCGGCCTGTAGGCTCGGGATTGTCTCCGAATGGGATCGGGTTGACCCGATCAGGAATGGTGAATCTGGCATTGATGGATAAGGTTTTGGAAGTGGATAAGGAGAAGAAAAGAGTTAGAGTCCAAGCTGGGATAAGGGTTCAGCAGCTTGTTGACGGGATTAAAGATTACGGGCTTACTTTGCAGAATTTTGCATCAATCAGGGAACAGCAAGTTGGTGGTATTGTTCAGGTGGCCTTCTGCATTTTTTCTAAGGCTATTTGCGTTCATATTTTGTTGGGTTTTGAGTAGATTTTTGTGGGTTTATGTTATGATTGAAGTAGATTATTGGTTTCGTTTAAAATTGCCTGCCCAAAGTCTAATTTGCTCGTTTTAGCTGAATTCCAGAATGTGTTAATTAAAAAAGAGTTCTTTTTTTGGGGGCCCATTTGATTTTGAAGTGTGTGTTCTAACTTACATAGTACTGTGTAATGAAATTAGACTATCAACGGTTAGAGTTGGACTGATCTATATCTCATCAAAAGTTCAAAATGATTTCTTTCTTTCTTTTTGGGAGGGGGGGGGGTGTGGGGGTGCTAAATTCAAGGACCAAGCTGTAAATTGATGAAGGGGCACTGCGGATTTACTGGGAAGTTTTACCTACATTTAGCTGAATTCTTTGATGTCATGCCAAGTTAATTTTTCGTGGTGTCTTCCAAGTGGAATTTTTGGCTCGCTATTCTACCATTCAGTTTGACAAACTAGATAATATCATTAGTTCATTTTGTGTAAATTTTCAGAATTAAGGGTGCAAAGAATTGCAGACCTGGGAATATGCTTCTTTATAGTTCACTTAATTGGATAGTTTATTTTGCTCTTTACAGTCAAGATAAGCTACCTGCTTAATAGCATTATGAGACTCTGGAAATTCTCTCTCTGTCTCTCTCCAAGTGCAATGTTTCTCCTGCCAAGCACTTTGATCAAATTAATTCTCAAGTTCAAGTGAAAACAAACAAGTGCTTTGGTTCAGCTCATCATCTATTTTGCTTCTTTAATATACTGCTTTAGGTAACTGCAACATTAAAGTGAAAAACTTGCCTTCCACATTAAGGCCTTAGCGATACTTTCATTATCTGAAATTTTTTGTCATTGCAAATTTTTAGGTTGGTGCACATGGTACTGGTGCAAGGTTGCCTCCCATCGATGAGCAGGTTGTCAGCATGAAATTGGTTACTCCTGCAAAGGGAACCATTGAAATTTCAAAAGAAAACGATCCAGAGCTCTTTTATCTGGCACGTTGTGGACTTGGGGGCCTTGGAGTGGTTGCTGAAGTCACTCTTCAGTGTGTTGAGAGACAGGAGCTTTTAGAACACACATTTGTCTCTAATCTGAAAGATATCAAGAAAAATCACAAGTAAATATTTTCAATTATTTGATAATGAAATTTCAATCTCTGGAGTAAACTGTCATACTTAACATATTACTGATGATGAAATATGGAATCTGCATGCATAATTAACTTCTCATATCATGAAATTAGCTAGATAAAATAGAGGGCAATGGCAGCGGATTTATCAGCATGCTTCATTGAGTGGATGCTTGTATTGAATATTATACGTGTATTCAAATGAATGAAGTGCAGACCTACTTATGCTTTGCACCAAGGACAGCCTTTAAACTGGATTTGCCTTTTATCCGCTTGTGGTTTAGTCTAATCACTATATTCAGTTTTACTCGCGACAAGCCTCATGCTCATTCATCGTAGTCTTTTGAATGTCTATCTTGCTGAAACACTGACCTTCGTTCTCGTTGTGAATTCTGGATATTTAAGCCGCCAGAGCAGGCTGAAACCAATCTAATATTAATGGTGTTTACCTTCTGCAAATTTAGTGCAAATTCCTGCTGCTAGACATGTGTTGAGTGAAACTGAAAAACATGACATTTTGACTGGGAAATGGGAGCACCTTATGCTACTCTCTTTATTTGCTCTTGCTGATTGTTCCAATAGCTTTCGCAGATTTCACTATAAGTTATATATATATTTTTATTTTTCTGACAGCTCATTGTAATTTTCTTTTGCAGGAAATTTTTATCAGAGAACAAGCATGTGAAGTACTTGCATATACCATACACGGACACGGTTGTAGTTGTGACTTGTAATCCTGTTTCTAAATGGAAAGGTCCACCGAAGTTCAAGCCTCAGTTTAGCCAGGAAGAAGCTATACAACCTTTTCGAGATCTCTACAGAGAGTCTCTAAAGGAGTACAGGTAAAAAATGCATTGTTGACTCCTTTAAATCAGAAATTGCCTACGTCATTATTCCCACTGAATTGTGGTTTGGGCAGATCATTCTCGTTTGCATGGTTATGTCATCTGCTGTTATTTCTTTCCTATTTGGTGCTCTCTGTTTAGTCTTCAATAGGATATGCTTGACTGGTAAACAATTGGTGCCATTACTTAAACTTTCCTCAAAGAATGAAGTATTTGCACAAGAAAGAAATGAGAAAGACTCGTACAATCATTTCCTCAAAAAGTTGAACTACTGATTTTATCCTTGTCAATTTGGTCTTTGTGTCTAGTTTAGCCAATGAGTTTCTATCTTTTTCGCAGAGTTGGAGTAAATGCCGCTGGAACTTCAAGTGAAAATGAACCAGACATAGATGAGCTCTCCTTTACAGAACTTAGAGATAAATTACTGGCTTTAGATCCCCTCAACAAAAACCATGTCATAAAAATCAACCAAGCTGAGGCCGAGTTCTGGAGGAAGTCAGAGGGATACCGAATAGGCTGGAGTGATGAAATTTTGGGCTTTGATTGTGGTGGGCAGCAGTGGGTCTCAGAAATCTGTTTTCCCACAGGAACACTATCCAAACCTAGCATGAGTGACTTGGGATACATAGAAGAATTAACTCAACTCATAGAGAGGGAAAATGTACCTGCTCCTGCACCCATAGAGCAGCGATGGACAGCTTGCAGCAAAAGCTTCATGAGTCCTGCTCATAGTCCAGTGGAGGATGATATTTTCTCATGGGTAATGTCACTATCCTCTCTCGCTGTCTTTTTGACCTGCCATTGGGACCTAGTATTCCTTGTATTTGCTAATTTGCATGAGTAATATGCTACTGTAAGTTTTTAAAAATCCCTTTCAACCATAGATGCCAATATCAAATCATTTTCTTCTTAAGCTGGGGACTTTTCCTGCTTGTCTTCAGTTATTCCTGGTCTATTTGGATTAGGATTCAATCTGATGTGCTGTTTAGTTTTAGTAAAGATTGATGATTGGCGGCAAAAGGAGTATTACAGGAAGAAACATGGTCCAACAAAAGAGATACTGACAGAGTTAGTATCAAGTAATGGTGATGGTTGAACAAAGATGGAGAGGAGAATGATTGAGTTGGGTAGTAGTATCTTGCATTTTCTTCTTCATTTCCTGTTTCCTATTCAGTTTTATTTTATTTGCTGCACATAGTTGATATAAATCTTTGCCTTAACTAGAATAAGTAGAAGCAACTATCCATGTTGCTGAATCACATATAGTGTCATGTGCTATTCATCAATTGGTTGGACCTGAGGGGCTGTATCTGACTCCATATTCTGAAAATATGGAGTAAACTTTTTTTAGCCTCCATTTATAGTTGTTAAATAGTTTAATATGCTAAGGCCTTGTTTGATAACGCAATTCAGCACTTAAACTTAATGTATTCAAATCTTAATATATTCAGACGCGTTTGATAATTAAAATTTGAACATCTGAATTAATTAAGTGCCACTGAATTTCTTAGGCAAAATTTGCTCTAAAAAATAAGTGATAAATTATTCACTTATCATTGAACATGACATACACTCAAATGTATTTGATTTAATACTTAACAATTCAATAACTTAATAGATTCAAACTTCAGATTTCAGATTTCAATTTTCAGACTTCAGTTTTATCAAACGCACCCTAAGTTGACTTGTGGTATCTCATTTTCCATTAGCTGATCTGTATCTATTCAGTTGTATCTTTAGAGACTAGATTTTTCAACTATATCATATTCTATAAAAGGCTCAAAATGGATGAGAAATCGGAAATGCCTGGGATGTTTGGTACACAGCTTATGTTAATTGTTTTAAAAATTTAGGGGAGAATGACATGAGTGTATTGTGGAAGCAGCAGAGCCAACTGCATGGAAAGTTTAATGGAGCCCACTAATCTACCTTGTAATACTAAAAGTTTCTTATCCTCTCATATGTTCATTTCTTCACCATTTCATGTTTTATTTTTATGTGCATTCACATTCTAAGTTCTTATGCATAACTTGTAGTGGAGGTGTAGACAGTAACCCTGAAAAGGCAGGATTTACTTTCTGTGTCCCTATGTCATGCAAAATAGCCTCTTTGGATGCTAGGGTGAATGTATTTGCCATTCACAGATCTAACAGTTTTAGGAGTCTTGTCCATCCTGCATAACCTTTGTTGTCCATACCTTTTCCTTATTACTCCTTTATGGATGACTGATGGAATATTTAGTTTATAATTATATTGGATATGATTGTTACTTATTTTAATGTGTTTGTGTAGACTTTTAATTCATGTTACATGCCCAAAACATAAGCCCACAGGTATATGTTTGCTGTACACAAGTCTCAGTCTCCATATTGGCTTCTTCAATATACATTTCACTGCATAACTGTTTAACCCATCTGGTCACAAGTTGAAGCAGTAAAGTTTGTTGTTTACATGAGCTGCAGGTCTCACCAAGATCCCCTAATGATATAGCCTCAGCTTAGTAATTTTCTGGATTGGATACCTTAAGGAAGTTGCTTCAGTAACCTTCGTTTTTGTTTTCTCTGTTTTCTCATATTATTAATAACTTATCGCGCTCACCAGAAAAACCAAACTGAAGGAGACCACCAGGAGTGGGAGACTGGAAGGATAAAAAAACATCTTGAATTCTCTTTTTAAAACTGACATTGGCAGAATAATTAGATTTGCTCACTTTTCTTGAATATTGTTATCAATAGAAGTGCTTTCAATCTGTTTGATTATCGCTGGTCATAGATATTGAAGTGCAATTTCACCTCTCTCTATTTGCAAGGAAAATAAAAATTCTCCTCTCTATTTTCCAGAAATGCCTTTTCTACTACTCCCTCTGTCTCATTGAAAGTGGCATAATTGGAAAGAAAAGCACAAATATCACAATCACAACTACTATTGTTAAAAAGTTGGATTCCCCAAACACGACTAAATTATTGGGACGGAGGGAGTATTATTTGCTGCATTAGTTATAGTGGGACTGGTGAATAAGCATTAGCGTGCATCACTATAGTATTATTTTTTTTTTTAATCTTCTCATCCAGTTCATTTTTCTATTACCAGGTTGGAATAATTATGTATCTTCCTACCACTGATGCTCGTCAGAGAAAACAAATAACAGAAGAATTCTTCCACTACAGGCATCTTACATACAAACAATTATGGGATCGTTATTCTGCTTATGAACATTGGGCCAAGATTGAGGTATGAATTGAAGGCTAGAAAGTTCGTGTTTTGATAGAGGTTGTATAAAATTGAGGACTTGAACATGGAGGTATATATATGTAATTGCAGATTTCCCACTTTTGCTTGGTTACATATTTATTCTAATTTTGATCCTACTTTATGGCTTGTAAGTACATGCTTATTCCAGTCTGCAACTTTCCAGTAATGTTGCTCTTAAAAATGGGAACAGAGCTAAGAAGAGATGGATTTTGGGTAGGAAAAGGGAAGAATTTGGGAGGAGCTTTGCAACAGAGATGTGTGCATATTTTTAGCCTTGAGCAGATGTGAGGAATTTGTTATGACAAACTCAACGTTCCTATTTGATATTTCAAAAGTAAAATCTTTGAGGTCCTGTTATAACAGATAGAGAAGACTATTCATCTTATTGTTAGCGATTATATATGTGGGAAAGTGCTACCTGTTATATAACCATAGAGACTTCTCTGCTGCATAAGAGGCTAAATTTGAGACTTGAGGACAAAATGTACCATATAACTTTGTAAGAACAGAGCAGCATATGCACAATTCAGCCACAACGATAGCTGTTGACCTTTAAATGAGTCCATAAACTCCATTGGTCATATATTTTACGTGTATTCTTTTACCAGGAAAAGCTAGTAATCCAAGTGGATGGTGATATTCCATTTTATGCTTCTTGTTATCTATCTAAGGGTCCCATTCTTGACAATTGGGTGTTTGTTTGGAGTTCATTCTGCTTGTTGACATTTCTGGTATGTGCAGGTGCCGAAGGACAAGGAAGAACTTGCAGCTTTGCAAGCAAGGCTAAGAAAGCGGTTTCCAGTGGATGAATACAATAGAGCACGGAAAGAGCTGGATCCTAACAGAATTCTTTCTAATAACATGCTGGAGAAGTTGTTTCCTTCATCGGAGACGACGGTTTGATGATTGTTGAAAGCTTCCTGGTTAGTTAGAACTTGTGTACTTCTGCAGATATCTGATATAAGAAAATCATCATGTTAACCCTCTCTCTGCGCTTTTGCCTTGAGCTGCACATGTTTAGCCATTGGATGTGGTTTGTACATGATATGGTAATACACTCAATTAAAGAGTATCTTTTGCCTTGGCCTCTCAATGCTGGTGCTCACTCAGTTTTCAAACGCTCAAACTTGTGCTTTCAAATTCAAAGAATAATTGAGGCTTGTAACCTCGTTTTGCTGCTGTTATATGGTTCAAAGACACTTTGATTTACCAAATGTGAAGGGAACTTTTAGAACAACAGATTCAACACATCAGGTAAAGAGTAAACAGTAACGTATATGGGGAGAAATGGCTGAAACTGGTTTTGTGTCATCAGTTAAAACTAGGTTTTTTTGGCCACTTTTAGATGGATACATGCGTGAATCACTAGTTGTGAAACTGGAAAAGTGGGGCAATCAACTTTTGAGGAAGAGAAACACAATATTTATTGATCGTATGATAAATCACACACACAAAATTTTACAGTAATAAATCGTCAGAATACATGATTACATAACTCAGCAAATACACGAAGAAAAAGTAACGCAGATGTAGCGCCAATCCATATCATAACATATTAGTCACAGCACATTTCACAGATCCAGCAGCAACACAGCGCAAAAAGACTGCACCCATAAACAACGAAACACTGATCAGCTTCTTCCAAGGTGAATATGCAATTAAAAGCACATTTCACAAATCCAGCAGCAACAGAGGGCAAACAGGCTGCAAAAATGGTGAACAAACACTCGTGAAAGTTAGCAATAATAACAGGCTAAATCTTAATCCATATCTGTTGTTTTTTTCTTGTGGTTCTGTCACTAATCTTTATTGTTCTTGGATATGAAGATAAAAAGGTGTGTATAGACTTACCATCCTTCAATAAATCCCCTTTCTCCTTTTGGTTTGGATTGTGGCCAACACCTCTTCTTCTTCTTCTTCCCCATCGTAGGATTCTCAGTTGGATAACCTTCAAGCAGAAAGTAAAAGACAAAATTAGCTTCTTGAACCCCAAAAAAGCTAAGAAAGAATAAAAAGAAGCCCATAAAAAGATCCTTCCAGTTCCATCCCCTCCCCTCTTCTCTTACTGGAGAGTAGTGGGGAACAGGATCAGTAGGAGGGGCAGAGGTACTAACCCGGAGGAACCTGGTTTTCTGTCCTGTCCATTTTGGAAGAAGAAGCAGTACAAGCAAAGAAGAATCAAAGGTTGTATGTATATATATATGTCAAATGCAACGATGTATTATTGAGTGTCTCTGTGGTTGTCATCTGGCCTCTAAACCAGGCTCAAGTGTATATATATATACCATTTCACTTTCCATGGATAAGGGTACAATTAAACCGAACCCGTGTTTACTCAGCTGATTTGTTGTATTCTATTAAAATGATGCACCGTCCAGACTTTTCTAGGATAAAAGAATAATACAGGTATGAGAGATAAAGAAACACGTAATTATCCTCCGTTGAAAAGGAGAAAGGAAAACAGAAGGGACGTAATCTGAGCACTACTCTCGGTTTCCTGCTTTATAGAGTCTATGATGAAAGAATGGAAGAGTTGTCAAAAGCCATTAGTTTTAAGCAACCAGCCTGTAATATTCCAATCATCTGCCTTTGCATATTTGGCCCTTTTTTTTTAACCCCTCAATAGATTCTTTGCTTCATGCAGGCACAATCAAAAAAGCAGAAAGTATCCCACAATGAAACCAAAAGCTGTGAGAATACTTGGAAGTTTTTCACACTGGTTTGCACACTTTATTCACCCAAAAAATCCCTAAAAGGAAAAATATCAAACTCATGGGATATATTCCCTGGAAGTGTGAAAAGAAAAGTAAAAGGCAAAGATAAACACGGTTTGCCCACGGGATTATGTCAGGGGACAAGAAAATAGAAGGCAAGAAAAGGAGGGAAGGATCAGGGTTGTGACAAATGGTTCTCATTTGGGTTCTTTAATTAATTGAGTTTGGTATGAGATTTGAATTGTGATTACTTAAGAAAGAATTAAACTGCTGAGTGAGTTTGACATAATTGAGGTGAAAACTACTGGTCCTTTCTCACAGTCGTGAGGATTTCTAGTTGTCAGATAAATATTGGGTAGGAGTCATTTTCATGAGCTCTTTGTTTGCCTTGTGGCGATTTGAGGTGTCACTACCCATTTTTCGATAAGATTAGTGGCCCAAAGAAGAAATTTGGTCAAGGATTGTGATAATTCAGTTCAGCATTTAAATTTAATGGATTCAGATCTTAACATATTCATACCGTTTGATAACTAAAAATTAAACATCTAAATTAATTAAGTGGTACTAAATTTTTTAGTCAAAACTTGCTCATAAAATTAAGTGATAAACTATTTACTTATCACTAAATGTGATATGCACTCAAATGTATTAGATTTAATACATAACAATTTAATAATTTAATGAATTTAGATTTCAGACTTCAGTTTTTCATAATTGAGAAGATCAAATAAATAAATAAATACACAATCAAGGATTATCCCCAAAAAGGGAAAGTCCTATCAAGACTTCCTTCCTCCTCTATTTCCGTTTTAAATGTTTAGAGTCTCCTTTTGAATCAAAATAAAAAACAAAAATGAAAATGCAGTTAGTGAAAAATGATGGTATGATTCTTGCTGGAAATTTTCATCAGCAAATGTTTTATTATAAATGACACATAAGGTAAATTGCCAAAAGTCCCTCTTATATTTGGATGATCTCATTTTAGTCCCTCAGATCAGATGTGAAATCTTAAGAAATTGATTTTCATTGGTTGAAAAGCAGTCCACGATCGTCTTTGGCTTCATAAGCCAGTGTCATCTTTCCTCGTGATGAAGTAATGCAATCGTTCTTTTTTCTATTAATAGGTAGGAAATAAGTATGTGAATTCTAATTTGCTTCCTTTATTTTATGCCTTTCAATTATTAGCAAGTACGTCCTCGACATGTTTCATGATATTTCGAAGGAAAAGCCAAAAACCCTAAATTTTTGCAAACCTTTTTTTTTTTAATATTTGCTTACCGTACATGCTTGTTGTTAATCAAGGCTAAAGACCCCCATAAAAAAATTTTTTTAAAAAAACTAGACTATAGAAGGTCAAAGGGTGTACAAGAAACTTTTATATATATATATATATATATATATATATATATATATATATATAAAACAGGAACCAATATTATTGCTAAATTAGTTGAAAATCGTCTGGCACGAGTTGTTTGATAAAGAAGAAAATCATGTTAATGACAGAAAATACATACATAGATATATCTGATCTGAAAAATCATCAAATCATCGTGTGAAAAACAAATCAAATATCAGTTCAAAGACAAATGAGGTAAGACATTTTAAACAGCAAGAATCTAATAATTATTTCACTATTATTATTATTATTATTACATAGTAAAAAAGATAAAACTGTACGATTATGCTAGGAATAATATCAGACATTTGCCTGTACACTAACGAATTAAACAGGTACTAATCCTTCTTGTCAAGGGAACGAGGACTCCCACAGGATCTGAAATGGAAAAGTTTTTTGCTGGCTAACTCAAATTATTCAATGGGCTGCCCCCAGGTGTTGTTAATCGACAAAGCTACGTGTATAGTCTCTTTCTTTATGATCGCTACGTGTACAGTCTCAAATTTTCCGCAATCCAATGCCTGAGTGAGCCGTAGAAAATCAAAGACAAGAGTCAAAACCGCGTGACTTCGTGCAGACAACACGGCCTGAAATGACGCAACGGATCTTCTGTCCCACACCCTGTGCCACTCTCTGTCCCATTTTTTATTATATTGCTATTTCTCCTTCACAAACATCATGTTTTAATTCTTTTTTATTTCCTTAGAATCCAATAACTATTAATTGAGTTAAAAATAAATACAACAGCTTCAAAAAACTAATATATAATAGAAAATTAAAAAATACAGCAGAAAATTCATAAAAAATCTCATTTTTTATGCATTTTGATTTTTTGAGTTTGTTAAATTTTGTGTATTACTCAATTAATAGTTATTGGATCTTAAGAAAATAAAAAAGAATTAAAACATGATGTTTGTGAAAGAGAAATAGCAATATAATAAAAAGTGGGACAGAGAGTGGCACAGGATGTGGAACAGAAGATCCGTTGCGCTGAAACGAGCAACGAGGAATATAAGGCTAGGATAACGGAGATTGAAATAAGCTATAAATTAAGAGAATAATTTATTTTTAAAAATTTTATAAAAAAATATATATTATAACGATTTAATGTACGTGAAATCATTCCTAATTATGTTTACGAAAAATATAAAACTTTCCTGCAGAAAATCACAATCCAAACAAAACTTGATTGAATTTCGAAAATACTCTTCACTCGTGTGTGTGTGTGTGTGTGTGTGTGTGTTTTTTTTTTTTTTCCGGTTTAGTAAGACTCATTTCTCAATACACTAACTTGATAAATGGGATTCTCAATTGTGGAATTCTTGATTAGGAAGAAATAGCACTAGTACGTGGCTTTGCATATTGAGATGGGTGCAAAATCTTGAGCGCCTCCTGCTTTTCATTTTTGTCTGTTTGGTGGGGTTAAGCCTTGTATTTGAATTGAAATGACCCATTTGAAGTTGAGTGCCTTGAAAGGGATTACAAAGAACCCAATAATTTAAGCAGTGGTTCAATACAGTAAATTGAGGATTTGAGCATCAATGCTGATTTTTTAGGCCTCTATACACTGCAGGATAAGTGTGTGTGTCTGCTTGAGTATAATTCACTATCATCTTCCACTAGATATTGATTCAAGATAGTCTTCTAAATTTGGAAGATTCAACTATTTGTTTGGATTAGCTATTTTTGGAGGTGTTTTTAAAATATTTTATCGTAACAATATAATTGAAAAACTTTTACTGTAGATGAAGTTATTTTTTGTATTTTTGGTGTTTTTTAAGGTTATTTTTTTTTATGTTTTTGAAGTTTTTTTAAATATTTTTGAGGTTGCTTTTTTTTTGTTGTATTTTTGGTATTTTTTGAAATTATTTTTGTTTGTGTATTACTATAGCATTATAGTTGAAAAACTTGTTTTTTCAAAAAATGACCAATCCAAACTTTTAAAAATTAAGGGTTTTGTTAATGAGTGTCCATTGGACACTAATTAACACATCTAAATACCACGTAAACTATCATATATATGAACATACTAATAACTAATACTCTCTCTTATATTTACATATTTTTCCTAATTAATTTTATCTTTCTACGAATCTCATACCAAAAGTATATTTTAATAAGCATCCATTGGACACCTATTAGAAGAATTCTTCTATTAATTAAATTGACAAAAAAAAAAAATTCAAGGGATCGATCCCGCCTGACCAAGCAATGAGGAAGGGCTTTAATTCCCTTCCCCTGGCTACAAACCCAAGAGCTGGTGTATGTCTCGATTTAATTCTCACTAAAATGGGAACCATAATATTACCTTATGTGTTAGTTTTCATCCCCACCAATTATGGGTTAGATTATGATATTGCTGAATTGTTGAGTTGTAATCCTCTAGAATTAATCCCACCGTGAGGGTTGATTAATACTCTTTACAAAAAAAAAAATTGCAAATGATATGTAGATCCTTGACAACCAAAAGACTTTTAAAATTTTACTTGAATATAGGTCAAGGGATCAAATTCCTTGGTCGACATTCTAATATCCAGATTTTTTTTAGAAATATTTTGCCCTTCCTAGTATACAATAAGAGTAATTGTAATATAAAATAAAAATAAAAATAAAAGGATACGTGGACGGTGGATCCCTGGCCTAGTTTCTTTTAGGTCAGGTTTGGGCCTCCAAGAGATCCCTACCTTTGATTTCAATTGTAGTTGCAGGCATCATTCGTTTAGAAATGAGAGGCCACACTTTTTGGGCCCAATCCTTCCCGACAATGAGCGGCAAACCTTGGGTTCATTGAATCCTAAAACAAATTTTTTTCATGGGTCTGGGTCGAGGACTCATTGACAAGTCCATGTTGTCGAATCCTCAGTTCTAATCTGTTTGTGATGATTAAATTCAAGGTTAAAAACCCCTTTAGAGAGCTGGGGGGAAAAAGTGAGGAGTAAAATGTAAAATTAATGTTTATATTAGTTTTTAAAATTTTTTTAATTGTTCAGGCACGGAAATTACAAGTCTTGATCTCAAGTCTCAAAATTATGAGTTAAGCTGTAATTGATAAGAGTTAATCACTAAGGTTGGTCCAGTGGCTAAGAAAACACTCTTAAAGCTCCCTTTACTTATCAGATTTAGGATTCAAATCATGAATCTGGCAGTTGGAGATAGGAAGGGTGTGAGCTATGTTTTCAGAACCGGACCGGATAGTAACTCGGCCGAGGTCAGGGGTCAATGGGTTCGACCGGGGGTCGATAGGAGTCGAACCGGATGACGTCATAAATAAAAATTATTTAAAAATTAAAATATTATATATATAATATCTAATAATATATTGATATTAATAAAGGCATATTCATATATATTTGATGTTTCAAATATATTTAACAAGAAAATACAAAGAAATTAGAACAAT